AGTTTACATAACCAGGAACTCTACAATGTAGCTAATGGGGCTTCAGTTGCTCTTATCTGTCTACTAGTGATGACATTAAAGCTTTGATGCTGGGTTAAAATTATGACATTTCTTTCCTATCACATAGAGCTCTTGAGCACAGGTCTCATACAAGTGAGGAGAAACGAACCCGGTTTGCCACTGAGTTATCTTATTTGCAAGATGAGATTCATTCTGCCAGGCACCTTGCTAGAGAACAGCTGGATAGAGTTACTATACAAAGAATGGTATTGTAACACAACATTTTTGTTTCCTTTCAAAACAAAGCTGTAAATGAATCTGTGCTTTGGAACCATACTTCTAATGCAACAGTAGCTAGTGTTTCCTAGGGCCTTGCTTGTTACACTTCGATATACTCAAATGTTGAACCATGATAGTACTAGCTTTAGTTTGGAGCAGTCACACCTTAAGGCTAAAAACCTTCTCTGACTGTTCCCTACCTGCACAGCTGTGACTTGCTGCTAGAGGCGTAGCAAGCAGAGGCCTAACTAAGAGCTACAACAGTGACTTTCCATTACAGGGTCGGTGAGCCAGGATAGGCTTGTATTCCTTTTCTAGGTGGGGGCATGTGAGAGATAAGTGGTGCCAGGAGAGGGGGAGGGGGCAGGAACATTGACTGGGAGGCAGAGAGTTAATAGGATGGAGGTAGGTAGTAAAATGGGAGGTGGAAAGGAACTGGGTTGGAGGAAGGGTGGTGAGATGAGGGAAGTAAGCCACTGAAAGATAAAAGAAAAGAAAAAAAATAAAAGAGGAAGTAAATTAAAGAACAAATTGGAATGTGGGACTGGGGTGCAAGGGGTACTGGTTATGTTTTCTGGGGTGGGTGAAAGGTGGGAGCAATGACAGAAGGCACTTTTGGGGGAGCTACTGCATCCCCCCAGACCAGCACCTGAGGGCTATGGCCCCTTACCGCCCCTATCTGTCGGTATGCCACTGTATGCGTGGCATTATAAAGTTATTGCATGACATGATTTTTTCTTGTGCATGGCCACGCACATGCACAGCTTAGAGGGAATGCTGGAAGGGTACTGCATCCTGGGATGCTGAAGGGCTGCAACTTGGGTGACTTATCTCTGGGGAGTGGCCATACATTGTTGGAACACAAGCTTGGTAACACAGATGAGAGATAAACTTGCCTTGGAGTAGCATAACTTTAAGCCACATAAAGAGTGCCTAAAAGCAGTTTCATGTGTTAATGTGTGGACAATCCAGGTGTTAAGAACTCCAGAAGCTGTTTAAAATTAATGTGTAACAAGGCCCTTAGTTTTTGTTCACAGAGTCTGACTCCAGATGACTCTCGTGTTTGATTGGGCTCCTTCTCATCACTTTTTACTTCTGACCTGTGTAACAGCTGGAAGAAAAGATGGCCTTGGAAAGGTATGCTGTTGAAGAAAGTATAAGTCGAGCTCCTGAAATTTTGGTGCGCCTGCGGTCTCATACAGTTTGGGAAAGGATGTCTGTGAGTCTTTGTTTCACTGTACAAGGATTTCCTACTCCTGTTGTACAATGGTAAGTATCTGGACCTTTCTAGTCCTCTAAAAGTGGTGGTAAGCTAGCTATGACATGACTTTTAAGTGTCACATACACTTCAAAAACCTTCATAATTCTCATAGACATGTTAGATAGTAACTGTTGCTGCTGCAGTGAGAGGAACAGAAGTACAAAATTTGTATAACAGATACACATAGCATAATAAGTACATTAATATTTCAAAATACAAACTACAAAAGGACTCAGTAATACACTTTGATTTAACTGATAAATAAGTGATAACATAGATTGAGTTTTGTTAATGGTAAATATTTTGAAGTTTTATTCCAGACAGCAGTACATACTAGCTAAATAGTGGAAAGTGAGTGAGATTAACCAAACCTGATGTTGTGGGAGTAAATTCCTCTATCAGTTGAATGACTTACAACCACACTGAAAATAAAAGGATTCCAGTGGTATAACTGATAGATAATTTAATCTGTGAAGTTTATCATCAAAGCATTGTAGCCTGAAGCATATTCTTACACCTCTTTGAATGAGACAAAAATCCTGGTAAAAGGCAAATCTTTATGAAAATCTCAGGATCCTTTTATTCAACACTACAATTTGAAATGTGCATTTGGGTGCATTAGGCAAATGCTTCTTGTCATCAAAAGAAGATATTTGAAGTCTCTTCTGCCCTAGAAGGCTGTGTATTGAAAAGTAGAGTCAGGTTAATTTAGAATAATAAAGAGGTTATCCTTGATTACGCAACAATTGGCACACCTCAAATGCTTGTATTTAAAGTAGGAAATGTAGCAGATAAAAAAAATCTCTATCTTACTTGTAAAATATTACCCCTTAACTTTATTTGAAGTAGAAATGTGGGACCAGAGCTTTGCTTCCAGCTTCATTTTGCAGTCTAACAGAAAGGGAGAATGATGTTAGTTAAGAAAGAAGCTGAGAACTTCTATAGCAATGACAAAACAGGAGCAGACATTAGGATTGGTATACCAGACCTGTTCCAGACCTTCATGCTTCTTCCTGTCTCTCCCTTCCCAGTATAAGGGTATTTCATTGTGGTCCAGATGCAAAAGTTTAAGCAAGATTTCAGGTTGAAAAACCCTTCATCAGGCTGACAAAACACACACATTTAAACACACCAAAAAATACCCTAAACACCCCAAAAAAGCTGTGATATACAGCCAAGCCCTCAGATACCACTGAATTTGCACTGAGGAGAACAGCTGGGATTGCTATCTCACCAATCTTGAGAAGGCTTTCACCCAACAAGGACACTCCTCCAGCGAGATAGATCGCATGTTTGAAAGAGCCACCCGGACACCATGGGAAGAATTGCTGCAGTGCAGAAGAAAACCCCCAACAAATCACACACTGCTGGTTACAACATATCACCCTGCCCTTGAACCCATATGGAAAATCCTCAAACAATTGCAACCCATACTAGAAAGAGACCCTAGTGTTAAAGAGATCTTCCCAGAACC